GCTCTACTGCCAGGTGAGGACAAAAAAAAACGACTTCCTGTTCCGGGTAACCTCCAGCCTGCAGGCGTGACCACTGTGTTTCTGTCTGTCAGGCGTCGGGGCTCGGCGGCACGGCGGTGGCCGGCCACGACGCAGATCTGGTGGAGACGATGAAACCGGTGAAGGAACGCGTCCTCAAGATCACCTTCAACGCCGACCGTCACGCCAGCATGCAGTGGAACTTCAAACCGCAGCAGACGGAGATCTTTGTAAGACCTGGTCCCTCCTTTCTCAGGTCCCTTTTTATATTCTCACCCTAAATCTGGGTTTGAATGAAGACGTTATAGTGTGGAGATGCTGTCAGTACATGACTGGAATTTAATTTGTACCAAAGAGAAGGTTCGACACACAAGAACAAGAACGCGACACGTTCCCTTAAATCCCTCAAACCGGCCACTTGCAAACAAAGTAAAAGCACTGCGGTTTGTCGGATGGTTGAAAAAGCGTCTTATTTTCTGACATCCACAAGTCAAATTAGGGCTGGGCAATAAAACAATAATGATAATTATCGCAACATAATTTCCTCAATAACAATTTAACTAATATTCAATATATCGTCAATAAATGTTTGAATTGATTAATTTGAATCACAAATGAATTAATTTTGTTGAGAAAAATGGACTAAAAAAAGATTTACTCATAATAGTTTTGAAGGTTCTACCTCAGATGTGTGAAGTGATCCGATGTTTGGCCTCAAATGTTTGTCACATTCTGACCGTAAAGAAAAGTTTAATCACACGATTAACCATCTGTATTCTTCAACTTTCACTTCAAAAATCAACCTTTACACTTGAAGAAAATGATGATTTAACATTTATCGTGATAATTATCAAATGTTATTTTCGTGATAACATTTTAGTGTTCATTTAAGTCAAATGATGCAAAAACCCAAAACCAGCAGAAACCAGTCTAGTTGTTAAATGCCTTGATTAACGTCCCCTTCCCGAAACCAAACTTGCAGAGCTCTGATTAACTGCAGTCAGTGAACACAGCCCCAGACCTGGTCTGGTGCTGATTCAGGTCTGGTGTAACTGGAGGTTTGAGCTGATGTTTGTTGTGCAGGTGGTTCCAGGTGAGACGGCGCTGGCTTTCTACAGAGCAAAGAACCCCACAGACAAACCCATCGTGGGCATCTCCACCTACAACGTGGTGCCCTTTGAGGCGGGACAGTACTTCAACAAGATCCAGGTTAGTCTACCGGCCGCTGGTTCCTCCAGTCCACATCATAACAAGTCCACGAGGCCTGTTCCAGGTCACGAGGCGCCTCTAGTTTACGTTAAACACGTGCTTCTCCGTCCTCTCCGCAGTGTTTCTGCTTCGAGGAGCAGCGTCTGAACCCTCACGAGGAGGTGGACATGCCCGTCTTCTTCTACATCGACCCGGAGTTCGATGAGGACCCCCGGATGGCCCGAGTGGACACCATCACACTCTCCTACACCTTCTTCGAGGCCAAGGAGGGTCAGACGCTGCCTCTGCCCGGATACGGCCGCAAGTGATCCGTCTGCCGCCGCTGCACTGAGAGGATCGCCCCAGATGCTGAACCGGGAGACGGATTCTGCTTCAAGACTCAGTCTGAGGAGGCACCGGGTGGAAAAAGTGTAAAAGACAAGAAGGAACGTTCTTCTGTACTTTGTTGAAACCGAAGTACGTGCCGCAGGAATATAAGCCTGAAAGAAAACGGTCCGCCGCATGTCTCGTTGTCCCAGAGTCTCAGCCTGTCATGTTAGAACTAATATATTCAGAATAAAGTCGAAAAACTTTTAATATTTGAAGTTAGTTTTCACCAATAAGTTAAGAAGTTGTCTTCTTCACAGCGGGCCGGACGGTCCGGGACGACAATTTGCACCCGAAGCAACTCATTTTATTCTGATTGTCTTGGAAACATTAAAACGAAACTCTCAGTCATCAGATATATTTATTTTCCCACCAGTGGCCCCGATACTCTCATCATATGAGCCTCAGCACGCTGAACGTCCTGGAAACCCTGGAATTCTGCAATGCAGTGATTGAAAAGTCCTGAAAACGCCTTGAAAGAGGCATCAGAATCTGGAATTTCGCTCCATTGGCTGATATGTTAGCTTTACTCTTGCAGACGGTCGAGGTGACGAAACGTTGAACAGAACCAGAACTTTTTCTCTTGTCACTAAGAGCTTTTTGTTTATGCACTGATGCCTGAGAGGATATATACAAATCAGAAACTGTATTGTACGTTTATCACAGCAGATAAAAGTTCAACCGGCTGAAGATGAATCAATAAATATTGAGTATGAACCGAGACTGGACAGAGCTGACGGGTGCTCGGGTGATGTGAGACGGTAGGTGAATCTGATTTCTCATGTCATGATGGAAACTGAGACTTCAGAAAACAGATTCAGGAAAAAGGTGATACTAAAACGGGGTCTCAGCAGGTCCTGAAGCACAGAGCTACAGGCTGACTTTGTCTGTGAGAGTGAGTTCACACAGCGAAGGTTCAGGGTGCTTCAAAGAGCCACCGCTGTGCAGGTGTGGCCCTCTGCGTCTGCCTTCCAGAGTGGGCGTCCCCCCAGCTGCACTCAGTCCCTGCCGAGGGCCCGGTGCTACGGGTTCTCTGAATGATCCTCTAATCCAGAACCAGAGTAATGTGGAGATTTGGGCTGCAAATAACTAATTAACTAATTATAAAGATAATTATTTTAATCATCAACTAATCTTTTCTCCATTAATCGTTTGGTCTATAAAATGTCAAGAGGTTGTGAAAAATGCTCATCACAGTTTTTGCAGAGCACAAAGTGACGTCTTCAGTCAGAAATGACAACAAATAGCAGCAATTCCTCCCATTTCAGAAGATGAAACCAGCACATTGTTCACATCTTTGCTTAGTCGTTGCAGCTCTAGTGGAGATTTGGCCAAACTAATGGGGAAAAATAAACTCTAATAGCAGCAAATCCATACTGACTGCTACACTCGCTGCATCGTCTGCGTTTCACTCAAATCATTCAACTCTAACATTCATCTTCATCACTAGTCTCAGTATCCTAAATAAAGCACATAACAGCTTCTCTCTCTCTCTCCTGAGCCTCTGCCCCAGGACCTGCAGATCCTGTCCTGTGTCCTCCGCTACAATGGACAAGCTGTGCGGGGCCCCTTTGGAAGCTTTGGACAGTTTTCAACCAGAGCCTGTCTCCCAGACTCAGAAGGAGCTTTATTGAGTAGTGCTTTACACATACCAGGAATTTGCTTTGGTGATGAGCTTCTACACGGAGACAAACATACAGTTGACATAAATAAATGTAGAAATATATAAATATGAAATAAACAAATGCAAGTTACATTAGAATAATAAAAGAATAGAGAAAAATAATACAACTATGTACAGAGAAAGAACAACGTGGCAGGACGGGAGAGGATATTGTATTTCTATCTATACACATATAAAATAGAAAAATAAGTAGACATATGTTTGTGTGAGCCTGCTCCAGATTTAACTCTAAGCACTTGGACATCTTTTAGAGTATGTGGGGACCATGTGCCAGAGGGTGGTCCCTTCAAAGACCCTCTAAGCTGCAGCTCAGCCGGGGTAAAGCCAGTGGCTTCATCGACGGCAACTCTGGTATGAATCGATTCCAACGCTTGTGCTTTTCACCAACATGAGAAGCTATCATGGTTTTTAGAGAGCGGTTAACTGGATGATGAGCAGTTGTGAGCTTATGGACCAAACCCCAGTTATCACACCGCTCTTTGAAGATCATATATAATCATATAACAGTTAACATGGGTAGAACTGAGAGGTCTCAATGTTTAGCATTTAGCTGTTCGACACCAATTATACTTAAATTGTCTCCTATCCCAGAGGGGATCATACCTTTTCAGATGAGAGGCTGTGGCAGCCGGCGTCCAGAGAAGAGCATGAGCATGCTCTGCTAACGGGTAACAAAAACTTCCTTCACAGTTGTCTATCAAGAAATAAAGAACGATCAAATATCAAAAAGTCTCATACGGAGGTCAGAACATCAAGAAGGAGCAGCAGTGAGGAGAGCGAGCGACTCTTTGTGTCCCTCTCTTATACAAGTTCAAGACAGGAGGAAGTCGAGCTCATTCCTAAAAACGGTCAAATACAGTTCAGAGACAAAGCTCAGTTCTTCTGCGTGAAACTTAACGACACGTGTTCAAATACCAAGAAAGTTCTAACAAGGACTTTCTAAGTAAGCCCATTTACTTAGAAAGCCGCTGGTGTCGATCACAACTAGATGACAGGAAAGTCAGAAGGGAGTGAACTCTGTGACATCCTCTGCACAAACCTCAAAGACGAGGACCGTCTTCCACAACATAAGGTCACTGAGACGGAGAGACAGGATGTCTGTGGTCACACACGTGATGCTTTTCTTTAGAAGCGTCCCTGCAGTCATGTAACTGTCACAGCTCCTGAGATCTGTGCAGACATTCAAACAGAGTTCATGTCAAAGTTCACTGTTCAGGTGAATAACTCAGATGTAACTTTAGTTTTGTTCTTGAATTAGTTTTGGAGAAATAAACACATTGCTGTCATTGTTTGATGATGGGAAGAAGAAGAGACCGTTTCCTGTTTAGTCTGGTTGAAAAGTTTTTCTGCCTATTTGGACACCAGGTGGCAGCACAGGAACATAAGTGCTGTAGATGAACTGGAGTGAAGCCTCTATGAAGGTGTAGTTTGTTTTTACAGAAATCTGGAGATCCATAACGCTGCTCTTAGTTCTGACAGTTGGTAGTAACAAATTACTTTGGAGGAAGATTATTTAAATCAACACATTTTCCTCCACTTAAAAGAAAAAAATACAATAAAACATGAATGTAAATGTGACATTATTTTGAATCTGTGGTGCGCTGTCAGGCTTTTATTTTGTAGGCTCAGACGGGAAGTTCAAACTGTGTTGATGGACGTCTACAGCGTCAGGTCCGGGCGCGAGGTTGCCCTAGCAACTCACAGGATGAACCAATCAGACGGAGGCAGGTCCAGACTCCCCCTCCTTTCCTCGCCTCCTCCATCCTCATCCGCGACACCACCTCCGCTGGAGCAGGGAGGCGGAGGGAGGGAGGCCAGAGATCCGTCAGTCGTTCCTCCTCAGTCCTCAGTCCAGGAGCTGAACTGAACCGTCTGCGGAGGATTTTTACCTTCGTGCGTAAAAGCGCTGTGCGTCTTGTGCGCGCGGATGGCACAGAGGACGCAGTAGTTGTCGGTGTCGGCGGTTCACGCTGGACAGTTGTAGCTCAACTGGACACAATCTGAACCGGGTGACCAAACTCTTTGTTGCACGTAAACACGCACACTGTCCACAGTGGACCGTGGAGAGACTTTAACCGTCGCGGATTTATTTCGGCGTACTTTACGCGTCTTCTCGCTTTGGACCGAGCTGTTAGAGGAGGAGTGTAGAGGTTCGGCTCTGTGCTGCCGAATCTCATCTCATGATGGGACACGACAGCTGCCATCTGCCGCGAGGATGAGCTACAGAAGCAGCCCGGTGAGGGCGTACGACTTTCTGCTCAAGTTCCTGCTGGTGGGGGACAGCGACGTCGGGAAGGGCGAGATCCTGGCGAGCCTGCAGGACGGAGCCACAGAGTCCCCGTACGGATACAACATGGGTGAGTGTGGAAGTCAGTGTGTGGAGAAAAGGTCCTTTATTTATCTTAACCCCGCCTCTGTTTTTGGTTTTGCGCGCACGGGTTTCCTGTTTTTACGCACAGTTTACGCAGAGCGGACAGCTTTGACAGCCAGCGTGTCTGCACTGAATCCCAGTTTGAAACCAGCGTCTCTGAACTGGGATACCTGCTCAGTCACAGGGAGTTTAAAGTCAGTGGGAAACACAAAACCCACAGACAGTTAAGAAAGTACCTTAGGATGTTTACTGTACTCAAGTTTGAGGGACTTTTCGTTTACCTGAGAGTTCTACTACTTTATACTTCTACTCCAATATTATATACTTTTACTGCACTGACAGCCCCAGAGGACCCCGGACCCCAATGAGAACCTATTCTCTTCTGAAAAATTATAGTAATTGGCTCTTCATCAGGTGAGTTTGGGCTTGAAACACTGTAACACTGACACTCTTGACAATATTCCTGTTCAAACTTTCTGCAAAACATTATGAATTTACAGGAAGGCTTTAGTGGCAGGTGTTCCTCTCAGCGCTGCCTGAAGACAGTACTGTGTGAAGGGTGTACAGTGTGAATGGTGTGTACGGTGTGAACGGTGTGTACGGTGTGAACAGTGTTTATTATCCTGAATCTGGATCTTTTTGTGGCTGCAAATGATCTTAAATGATGGTTTTTTTGCGCACTTCAGGGAAAATAAATCAAACGGGTGTTTGTTTATTCAGAAAGGCTTTAAGCCTGGAATACTCAGAGGTAATATTTTGATTTATTTTACACAATAGAATCCATTTCAACCCCTTTCATCCTTCTGCCATGTGAGTCGCTGTTTCTCATTTCTCCAGTTTATGTGCGTACGCATGGTTCAGAGTTTACTTACGGGACGCAAGTTTGGTTTTTATAGATAACCTTTGCTTGGGAAGTGGCGTGCGCACGTTTCCTGCCCTGTTTTGTATTTACGCACTGAGCTTTCAAACAAGTATCAGCTGAGGCATTTTTACTGGTCGGCGGTCGGCCGTGCTTACTACATACAGTCATGCAGCTTTTGATTTATTTATCGCTGTCAGGATGTGAGGAGACGCTCAACAAATATAACAACAAAGCTTCTGAAATAAACTTTAAGCTTTAAGTAAAAGTACTAATACCACACTGTAAAAGTATGTAAGTATAATCAGTGAAGTATTAAATAATATAAAGTATAAAGTATAAAGTAAAAACAGGGAGTCTCTGTCAATCACAATAATGTCAGTGTACTTAGCTGGTAGATTACTGTATTATGTGAATGTTTGGATTTTGTACCAGGAAAAGAAACATGAGATCTTCTGTCTCGTGTAACTTTTCATCCATTTTTTTTCAGCCACATTTGAGAACAGAGCGAACATCCTCATCTGTTTCCCATCCAGATCTTTAATTAGTATTTCTGGATTTCGTTTCAAAAGCAACATTATTCCTTTAGAAAAGGTGACTGTTGTGCACACAGAAGACTCACGGAGCAGAGCATCTAATTTTCACCCATTGTGCAGCTTTGAAAGCCTCTTTGATATCGTTTACCATCATCTTCCTCTTATTTCTGTCAGTACTCACGGCTCTGTGTTGAACCTGCGAGGTGTATTATTAATAAACGCTGGCAGGCAGCTGCTCATGACTCACGCTCACTCTGCAGGAGGGCGTCCAGGACGACTCGGCGCTCTCAGCTCTTCACACACAGATCACAGATGATGTAATCACCCTCCGGCGGCCATGTTGGAGATCTGCAGCTTCAGGCCAACAGTGACTTCATACACGTTCATGTTTGACCTGCCGTTTGGGACCGAACTCTCCCTGCTGAAACATATGTTTTCTGATGTGGTGTGTCATGTGATCTCAAAATAATTTGGAGCTTTTTGCAGTTGTGATCAAATTCAATAATTAATACAAAGGTTGAGAGCTGCAGCTAGAGTGGAAGTGATTCATTGATTAGTCAAATCAGCAACATGAAAACATGTAATTGTTTGTCGTATTAGTTTGAGCAGACTGTGTTCTCTATTGTTGTGACATAGATGAAGATCAGATCACATTTGGGGACCAATTTATGCAGAAATCCAGGTTATTCCAAAGGGTTCACATAGTTTTTCTGATAGACTGTATTTTACGTGTCTTTTTTTTTGTGGTTTTGAGATCAGTTTTATATATCAGCTCTCTAAATATCAGTCGAACTTCTGGTTTAGCGCTCCGCTAACGTGAATGGGGGTAAAATTGTAAACGATGTTATCGACCAAATGGATCACATTCTGATCATTTCGCTCGGGTTGTGACGTTCAAATATATTGAACCATAGTGTCACAGCCGCTGATTTGGCCGCTAGTAAAATTTACTTTAAAGCACGGAGCACTTCCTGTCGACTCTGAGGCATTGCGAGGCTACCCAGCCGACCAATCACAGTTCTTACACCCCGCGTTGCCCAGAAGTGTAGTTGCATTTTTGAGGAGGTGCACGTCAGGCTACGATGTAGGCTATGGGACTGCGCACTTTAGACGTTCAGATTGATGCCTGTCACGGGAAATTACAGCCAGCAGTTGGTTAGCTTAGCTTAGCATAGAGACTGGAAACAGGGGGAAACAGCTAGCCTGTTTCCCGTCTTGTTTTTGTTCACACTGCAGATTTACTGAGACATCAGGAAACATCAGCTCTTCGGGCGGAGAATAGTTTGAAATTGAGCAGCACTTTAATGTTCATGTATGAGCAGAGCTTTGTGTGAGATGGGTTTACTGTCCAGCTTTAATGCTGAGGTGTCACTGCTTCGCTCTGTAGCTCTGATGAGACAAGTGGATCCTCGCGTGGAAACAAATCTCTCCTTGTGCCACGTTAATATTTCAGGCTTTTAGCAGACTCAGTGCGACAAGAGAAAAAAACTCGCTGCCTCAGACTGCTGGCAGAGGAGGTCAAAGGTCAGGTTTCTTACACGTGTGCTGATATCTGTGACGAGCTGCCGATAATCTCCGAGTTGATGCATCGGAGGAGCGAGCCTGGGTATTAACTTTTCAAGGGGACTCCTTGGGGTGATGTGAGACACAGTTTCCCCCACATCAGGCTGTGTAGCTCAGCTGATGGAAAACCTTGATGTCTGCTTTTCTGGGTCATCATCCTAAAGAGGAGGGTTGACGGGAGACATAGCTGTGGTTGGCTGCATCCCTAACAGGGAGTTTTGTGGTGAAAATGCAGGCTCAACTGGACCGGGATCAATGGCGTGGAGGCTGCCGGCGTCCCGGCGGGGGCTTCGCTCTTCAGCCAAGTCCAGAGGAGAGCTGTTATTAAAGGCTGCGGCAGGAGGACGACGCCAAAACCACACGGGGCGAAGCCTTGACTACAGCTCGGAGAAAACGTGCCGACGCAAGCTCGCAAAAATGCCCACAAACAGTTTATTTTATATAGTTTATGGTCCGTTGATAATTACTCACTAATGAGACGCATGAAGAAAGGCTGAATGTTTGTTTTCAATTTGTTCTTCAGCGGTCACGAACAGCTGTTTGGTAACGTCTTTCTGGGTGTTGTGTAACTTCACAAAAACACTTCCATTTCTCAGCTGAAGCTCCAGCAAACAGCCGAACCTTTGAAATCCCTGAGAGTCTCACGGAGACTTGACAAGTGTGTGCGTGTGTTAGTGCTGAGAGCAGCTCGGTGGGGGTGTAATGATGAAGAAAGTGGAGATGCTGTTGGTGTTGCCAGGAGAGGCTGACTCATTCCTCTGGATGTGCACTCACACAGATGGGGTGACCTTGGCCAGCACATGAACAATACAGAGATTTTTTAAATTTAAATCAAACATTTGCCATGGTCATGTTTAAACAGAAGCTTAAAGGGTAACTTAGGTATGGACCTCAGAAAGGATCCCTACAGAGAGAGATGCTTTTTGTTTAAAACAGTTAATATATCGCTCTTGTCAAAGCCACCAGACTCCGTTGACAAAAAGCCTGATTTTACCTCCCAGAACATGGGAGTTGCTGGTCTACCGCTGCCTCGGTCGGTCAGCTTGTTTCCGTTATTGTGTGATGAGGGTGTTTTAAAGGGTTAAAAACACTCTCATTAACACTTTCACAAACTAACTGACTGGTCAATGGAGTCTGGTGGATTTGATGACAGCGAAGTTGTGACTGTTTCTGTCTAAACAAAAAGAATCTCAATTTAATAAAAGCTCTCTCTGTGTAGGGATCCTTTCCGTAAATGTCGTCAGACACTTGTAATAACAATCTGAGCCTGTCAGTGGCAAAAACAAGCACCTTAGTGGACGGACTTTGACGGGGTGTAATTTACCTGCAAGGACAAATTGCGCCCTGTATGCAGGGTGCTCAATACTGGACCAGTTTTAAAAAAATGATGTCCCAGTAAGTCACAGAGACACAAAAACATGGGAAGGTCAAGGTTCACAAATACTGACGTTACCCTGTAACTGGTCGGCTTTGTTCATTCAGCGTCATGATTCAACATCAGCTACAGTTTGAATGAGTGGAACAGAGAAAACAAAGCTAATCCAGAGAGACCGCTGGATTAAAGACGAGGAGAACAGGAATCAGGTTGGAGACGTGAGGAAAGGTGACAGATGGTTGAGAGGTGACGGCGACAAACCCCCCAGGGTTAGGATAATGAAAAATAGAAGGTTATTTTAGGTAATCGTGGCGGGCTGGTGATCCTCCACAGCTGAGAATTTATGACTTTTCAGAGGGAAATCTTTTAGTTTTCACTACATTAATGTGACAGCTGGACTTAGCAGATGTTCAGTGTGATGCTTCAGCTTACGTTGCGTTGATATCTGAACAATGTGGAAGTGAACTTTAACCACTGAGTGCCTGCAAACAGTGGACAAGACAAAGGCCACGTTCAGACCGACTTCAGCTCTTAGAGTATTATGAATCTGTGAAAGTCTGAACCAGATTTCATCACAGTCCATCCGACTGACATTAGAGGCTATAAAGCTACGCTGCCAGCAGAGGTGGGACCAAGGCACTGTTTTACGAGTAAGTCTCAAGTCTTAGCTCTCAAGTTTCTCAAGTCTCAAGGCAAGTTTGTCTGCACAGCACATTTCAGCAACAAGGCAATTCAAAGAGCTTTACAATAAACATAAAGCGGCACAGGGAAATATATAAAAAGACATTTAAATACATTTTTAAAAGTAAGAGTCAAACAGAAAATAACAACAGGTTAAAACAGATTTCCCGTCTCTCACACCAGTGAAACCTCGTACGATATTTATTTTATTTATTTCCTCTTTTTCACAATCGTCACCCTGAATCCAAATTGTTTGCGCTACAATCTTGGTAAAAGCCGTCCGAACAGCGGAGAAAAACTTACTGCTCCGTCTCGTTTACTCAAGTCAAGTCCCAAGTCCTCAACTTGGAGTTTCAAGTTCTAAACAAGTCCTAATGTGCTCGCCACCAAATTTAAAATGATTTCATATTTTTAACAAGAGTTAAACTTTATTAAGAGAGAGAGACGTTTCAGAAAACAAACATCATATAATTTCATAAAGTGTTGATGCGCTGCACGCAGTTTTTATATCATAATGTATATTTGTCAAGTCCAAGTGAAATCACGAGTCTGTACAGTTGAAGTCAAACTCAAGTTGCAAGTCTCTTTTTGATTTTGTCAAGTCGAGTCTAAACTCAGCTTGTTTGTGACTCGAGTTCACACCTCTTTCTGCTAGCGCCAATAAACACCCACTTACCCTATCACACATTTATTTAGCTGTTTCTGCAGGTTACCAGATCCCGGCCCTTCACTCGCAGACTACGTCATTATAACTATTAGAAATATTGAACAAAACCCACGTTGTGACAATCCAACACTGACATGGTCCTTTTAATATCTGTACGCATCATCACTGTGAATTGAATCCCCCCCCCAACATCACGTGCACACTCATGCACCCCGCCCGGCAGGCAGCTACAATCTTTCACTGTTTTGACGTCTGTCAACAAACCTCACTGTTCCAGCCTCTTATGTAACACTACTTTCCCAAGATGCATCATGCATGCCTGTGTGTGTGTGTGTGTGTAATAACTTGTACATATGTGTGTAGGTCGGACTGGTGTGTTGCTTTCCTCCCAGAAGAACATTATATCCCTTCTTCTTCTCCCAGATCTTCCTCCTCTCGTCGCTCTAACACGCCTGAAGTGTCGTCCTCTGAGCGTGTTTTTCTTCTTCTACCAGATAGTTCCTGATTAAAATCACCAGTTTGATCATTTTATGCCAAATGTTGTTCAGCAGAAGCTGTTTGTGTCACAGAGAAACTCCCCTCTGTGAAATGTTTAAATAATATTAAAAACTAAAGGTTAAGCTCACCAGGTAAACAGAGGTGGCTGACTGGGCCTTAAGGCAGCATCTGAGGTTACTGGAACTCTCTTTAACGGGCCTCTTCTGCACGCCAACGCATTAACGTGTGTGTGTGAGCACCATTGTTGAAACATCACAGTAGAGTGTCGTTACTTGCCGACAGCTCCTGATAATTACTGTTATAAAAGGGACGCTGCTTTTGTTCCTGCAGGTACTCGTGTGACAGCAGCCTGATATTAATAGCTAATCAAATGTGTGTGCGTAGTCAGCCGTTGGTTTGTGGGCTGCTGTTTGAAGCCTCCAGTTTGGCATTTTTGCAATAAGATGTGACCATATTCGGGACAAGAGGATGGAGCTAGCCAGCTTGGCTTAGCTTAGTGACAAGAAGGGTTAAAACAAAATATACTTACTGGAAAAAATTAACAGCTTGTCAATCAGCTTGTAGCCCCGCCCTAAAGCCTCCCCTGCTTCCTGGTCTCTGTTCCTCTAAATGGGACCATAATTTACTAAATGAACATCATGCTGTGTTGAAGAAGACTTGAAACTAGCGACTGAGACCAGAAACTCATCAGGAAAGTGTTTACTGAGGGAATAAATCAGCTGACAAGTAGAAACATTTTCTCACAGACTTCTATACAATCACACTTCTTTCTGCAGCTGCTGGAGTCGCCCCCTGCTGGCTGTTAGAGAGGACGCAGGTTTAAGGTGCTTCAGCGTCGGCTTCACTCTTCAGACCCGCAGATTCCAGCTGTAGATGGTTAGCTTTGAATCCAAAGTTACGCCCTCAGAAACAGGAAGGCCATGCAGAAGATGTTTTGAATAACTCTGCATCAGTGATGAACTTTGTGTGTGTGTGTTTGGGCTTGTTTTACTATATTCATCGGGTCCAAAAACTGGGATGCCACAATGCTAGGGTCCGACAGCTTTGACAAAAACACTGGACCCCACAAGTATAACTATGTGTTTGAGGGCCAAGACTTGGTTTTAGGGTTCAGGTTTGATTTAGGTTAAGGTTAGGGGGTAAGAAGCTAGGGAATACATTATGTCAATGACAGGTCCCCACAAAGATAGTGACATAAGGCTGTGTGTGTTTGTGTGTCTAAAGCTGGCGGGCGCCAGTACAAATCTCTATAATACTGAAGTAAATCCGTGGCCGTCTTGGTTGGATGAGTCTTTTCTTAATCTGCTGTCAGAGCCTGGGAGGTTGCTGGTTCTAATCCCTGTGAAACCTCTTTAAAGTGACACTATTTAAAAACCCTGTTTAAAAAATGTATTAACAATTTATTTGAAGTGACTAGTTGGAGTCAAGACTTATAATGGATTATATAAACACACAGAATGTAGGTTCAGCTAGAAAGAAAAGCATTTTATCAGAAGAACAGAACAGAAACAAAACAAACCGAGTTAAATAAAAACAGGCAGGTCTCCCACCTTTGCTTATTTTACTCCTCTGATTCCCCGTCTATCCTTTTTTAACACTTCGGGACTCTAACCCTAAGGGGACTCTTACCCTAAGGGGACTCTAACCCTAAGGGGACTCTTACCCTAAGGGGACTCGAACCCTTTAACACTTCAGGACTCTTACCCTAAGAGGACTCTAACCCTAAGGGGACTCGAACCCTTTAACACTTCAGGACTCTTACCCTAAGGGGACTCTTACCCTAAGAGGACTCTAACCCTAAGGGGACTCTTACCCTAAGGGGACTCGAACCCTTTAACACTTCAGGACTCTTACCCTAAGAGGACTCTAATCCTAAGGGGACTCGAACCCTAAGGGGACTCGAACCCTTTAACACTTCAGGACTCTTACCCTAAGAGGACTCTAACCCTAAGGGGACTCGAACCCTTTAACACTTCAGGACTCTTACCCTAAGGGGACTCTAACCCTAAGAGGACTCTTACCCTAAGGGGACTCTTACCCTAAGGGGACTCGAACCCTTTAACACTTCAGGACTCTTACCCTAAGCGGACTCTTACCCTAAGAGGACTCTAACCCTAAGGGGACTCTTACCCTAAGGGGACTCTTACCCTAAGAGGACTCTAACCCTAAGGGGACTCAAACCCTTTAACACTTCAGGACTCTTACCTTAAGGGGACTCTAACCCTAAGGGGACTCGAACCCTTTAACAGCGGGACCCTGTCAACAAGTTACCAGCGTAGAAATCAGGTACTCTGACCCTTGTAATTCTACTCGGCCCTGTTAACTGCCGCCTCACATCTTTCCACTGACTTTATCGCCAACACGCTGCCTTAACATTCGCCCTGCATTAGAACTTTTAGTCTTTATGATATTTCTACATTTACTGAAGTAAAAGATCTGAGTGCGTCCTCCACTGCTGATGTTACCAAAATGATCTGGCATTAATTTTCAGACCGCTTATACAGATGAGTCCAACAGGATTCTGGACTCAGCTGGTCTTTGCCGGTGTTTTCAGCTCTAACCTGTTTGGTTTGGTTTTAACGGCCTGTTTGCCAGCTGGGTTTAGTTTATGAGGATGTGGAGAGTTTGCTTCCTGGTGAACTCTGGGACAGTTTGTTTGTGGTGTGAAATCAAATGGACCAACTTAACAGAAATTCAGAAGGTAAACTGCTGCTAGGGCGCCTTCACACCTAAAGTTCTGTCAGCACACTGAACCAAACTGACCACAGTTTATTTTTTAACCGACGCACACAGTGTTTGTGACTCAAGACTCATGTGTTTCTTGTTTGTTTTGTTTCAGGAATCGACTATAAGACGACCACCATCCTTCTGGACGGGAGGAGAGTCAAGCTGCAGCTCTGGTACTCACCTCGTGTTGTTCTCCTCCTGATTGAAACCCAGCAGTCAGATCATGTGATGATCAGCAGAGAGTTTGGACCAGAAATAAGCAGGAAGCATGTGAGGCAGTTTGATTTGATAAAGAGCTGTTTCAGGTGAAGCAGGCTTCAGTTTTGGTTTTTACATTCCTGCTTAAACAAACGAGTTTGTGTTGATTAGTGATGTGTAGAGGTGTTGGGAGGCCTAAGCATTGAGTTTATTATTTCTTGGCGTGGTCTGGACTGGCCAGGTTTGAATATAATTGTGAGCTTGTTAGGTTGGACTAATCAGGTCACATGGGCTCATAAAATGCAGAATCAAACATTCAAGAGACTTTAAAGCAGTTGATCAGGTGTTGGTTGAGTTCTCCTGGTTATGTTTTAAAAGTAGTATAAAGGCTTCAGTGTCTCAGAGGGAGCGTCTGTGAAGTCTGATAAATGTCCTTAGGTGATGTCACTTGATCAGCACCGTTGCTGCTGAGGTTGTACCAACTTTCTGAGTCGTTACAGTTGAAATTTCCGACTGGGACTCAGAAATTGCTCGTCCCAGTAGAAATGAATTGCAGGACAACACGCAACTGTCAGAGGGACAGTTGCATTGTGGGTAGTATTTGAATGCAGCTGCACTGGAAGGTACCATCAGTCTGCATCTTTTCACACTACACGATTTTTTTGTTGCTCGGCGATGTGTGAACTACTCAACGACGTGTCAAAACAGCTCCCCGACACATTTCTGACACATCGCCGACGTCTGCCAGATATCTAGAGGTGTCGGCCGACTCGACATCCACATCCAGCCAATGAGAGCAGGCTGCTACTTTTCACCGCAACACATTTTCCTCCCCTGCAGCTCTCTGTAGCTACCTGAGTGTGCTGATCCATCCATTCACCCAGATTCTCTGTCTTTATAATAACAAACAACAGCTGTTTTGTCTGTAGGTTCGACTTATTTCCTGTTTCACGTGTTTTCTTGACCAAACGTGGTTTGGAGACCAGCGTCGGGTGACAGAGCCGCTGCCAGCTCGTGTAGTGTGTGATTCCCACGTCACCGATCAGTCACGTAGTGTGAACGCCATCGAGAAATAAATAAAAATAAAAGACACACAGACGTCTCACTGTGTTTGAACGACCATCTGAATGAACTCTGATTCAGGAGGAATAAAGACTACAGGAACGTTTGGGTTACACAGACGTCTAATGTTTCCAAACCTCCGCACACTCAGTCAGGGAAGAAAGATGTGGGTGGGATTACAGAGCACTTACATCCGTGGCTCTAAACTCGCAGCTCTCTCCGAGGTATTTTTAGAGCGGTTTTGCTTTTAGCAGAGTCAATATTAAATTATTAATCTGAAACTATGTTTGATGTGTAAGCGGATGAGACGCTTTAGCTCTTTTATGTGTGTGTGTGTGTGTTATTAACGCCCTTTGCCTCTCCTGTGGCTACACACAGTTTCATGAACACACATAACGCCGTGTTTGGGGGTGGCTTTCTCTTCTGCATCTCCTGATAACAGCAGATGCAGTCTCTCAGGATCACGTCATGATGAATCCTTCTGGTTTGCTTGGACCACCTGACTTGTAATCTGGCAGCTGCCTTTGCTCTGGCCCGGGTCGGGAGCAGCAGGCCAGCAGCCAGCGAGCGTCCTCTTGAGCCAACCAAAACACTGCTCTGGTATTCAAGCTCTGCTGTCGGGAAACACACTCTTGTTTTTCACCGTCGACGCTCACAAAAACAGCTCCCATGTTCCCCGAGAGGACAGTGTGACAGCTGGAGAGGGGTTTGCTATCACTGTGGCATGTTGACACTCCGGCATCTTATATTCAGTTCAGGAGGACAGAGAGACGGCCCTTAGTGAAAACTGACATTCCAAAATAACAACAACAACTTTATTTATACAGCACATTTCATACAGAGTGATGCAACACAACCTGCTTCTTTCATAACAAGAGGAACACTGAGGCTCGGCTTCTGTGTCAACATGAAGTCTGATCAAGGCTTTGGTTCTGCAATCAGGTCTCAATTCAAGACCATGAAGTCCAGAGTAGGATTGTGCCAATTGGCGATTGGACCGCCTATTGACGATTGAAGGGATGATCAGCGATTCATGCGTTGGGTTCAAGTTCAAGTCACGTGACTCGAATCAATACTTGTTTCATCATAATTTTATCATATATGAGCTTTTTGTGTGTTTGTGTGGAAGGTGAAGATACTCCAGTAAGTTTCCTTTGAAGCTAGTAAAAAGTCAAAAGACTAAAGGTTTAAATTTTAGCCTCTGTGTGACTTTGCTTGACCTTTGACCCTGATATCTCGACCCCTGACCTTTTATTCTGTGTTGTTTCAGGGACACCTCTGGTCAGGGACGATTCTGCACGATTTTCAGATCCTATTCCAGAGGAGCCCAGGTATGTTTCTTTCATAGCCCACATTCACTGGAAATGTAGTTTGTAAAGCTGCTGGCACACCTGTCCAGTCTCAGGTTTTACCTGTGAGACACAAGTCTTTAGAAGTTAGAAAGACTGTAACACTAAGAAGATGCCGCTGAGCTAGCTGTAGTGGAGCTGGTGGCATCTCTAATAACAATTTAACAAAGTCAAGCTTTATTCTTTTGGAAGGTTTTCAGCTTTATTAATTATTAATTAATATACTTGAAAATGGGAATTTCAGTGAAATATTCTGCTTGTTTGTCAAGCAGCAGATATTATTTAAGATACCAACGAGTTTGCAGGTTGCCCTGCTAAATGCTATCTTAGGTGAGTTAACGATATATTAGTTATGTTCCCCTATAGCTAAATTTGGATTGCCACTAGCTTAGCCCTGCTGATATTGAGTTAATGTTGGATTGCTGTTAGCTATGTGTCCTACTAGCTAATGCTCCGTAAAGCGCCTTTCTATTATTTAAGATACCAACTCAAAGCACTTTTACGCTACCTCTGCATTCACCATTCACTCACATTCATACACTGAGCCTAAGTGCTGAAACAGAAACTGACATTCACACAGTGGCGGAACAGCCACCAGGGGCAATTCAGGGTTCAGTATCTTGCCCAAGGACACTTCGACATGCAGCCTGGAGGATTGAACCGCCGACCTTCTCATTAACGGGCAACCCGCTCTACCTCCTACCAGCTAATGTTATGGTGTTTTAGTCACCATAACATTAGCTGTAGGCTGAGACTACATTGCTGGAATCTTAGCCCATCTAATGTTGAGTTTAGCTGATGTTGGGTTGCTGATATTGGAAGCTTAACCCCACTAATGTTGAGTTTGTTCTATAGCTAAAATTTAGCCCAAATAACTTTGAGTGAGCTTCTTGCCCTGTGGCTGAAGTTCAGCCCTGCTGTGGTATCTTCACCGCTAGGAACCTTTGAACCTAAACCTAACCCTAACCCCTCAAAAGGTCCCTGCTCGGGGGGTTGAGGGTTAGTACTTTATGAAAGGTCGAGGAGAGGCTACACGCTTTAAGTCGAGCATTTCGGGTGTTTTGAATCTGCTTTGCTGCTACTGCTTCTTTACACCGTTGACTCAGTAACATTTGCAAACCAGTAAATCACAGATACACACAGGTCTCCCCGATGTCGGCCTGAGATTGTACGTCGGCATTATACTTATAGCTCGGAAAGAACTGCCGGTGTGCTGCTAGTCCTGCGGCGTGTTTACAGCTAACAGATGATGAAGTTAAGCTAAATACTGGGTCAGGGGTTATTGTTTTAGGTTTTGTTGTCAGGAGTTGAAGAAGGAGTCCTTGCCCCCGGCTGATTATAACAGGTAATAAAGTAAAAATCACTTTTCCTCCGACGCTCAGGTGGACTTAGATGTGAGCTGAGCTGCTAACGTTATCCCGGTTTAGCTGCTCAGGCTGTTTTCTGTTTAGGTGTTTTTTCCCTTCGGTGTTGACCTTTCGGGAGGTTTCTACCGGGAGCCGAATTACCACCGAGGTTGTCTCCTCGTAACTGGAGTTAATATTCAACAAGTGGTAAAATAGTATACTATTATATGAAATTATAATGAATGTAGTATATTGTTGTTATACTAACAGTATACTATTAACTAAGCATTGTACTTTATTTAATACACTCGTGCACAGTTCCTCCTCCAGGCTGTGGATAGAGACATTGAGCGGGTGCCAATATGTGCTGCTTCTAGCCGACTGGAGAGGGCAGTTTATAACCTGTACTGCAGCCAGCCAGATGTTTTGGATTCATTTTTGGGAAGCTGTCATGTCGTCCATCTTTATTTTACAGTCAGTAGTTTAAACCCATGAGGAAGTAGATTTGTTCATCACAGGCTTTAATCAAACATCTCAGTCCAGATATTTAAACATGTTTGTGGAGTTTAAATGAAGCTGTTTTCCTCGTGTGGTGCTTTTATCTGGGACTCGCTGTCTGTTTATTTCGAGTCCTTCAGCTGAAGCTGCTCTTGAGTTTTCCTCTGCGTTGCTGTTCTGACCTCAGACAGACGGAGCTGTGAGAGGATGTGTGAAGAAATCCATCCCACACATGAAAACAGACCGCCTCGTAACGTTCCCAGCAGAGAGAAAAAGAAAACCCTTTTCAGTGAATGAAGTTGTTGTCATCACTCATCAGGCTTTTTGTGGGCGCAGAGGAGCCATCGCCATGGCCACAGAGAAACCGTCACCACAACGAGGCTGAAAACTGACAATGAATCTTTACTGTGTGGGTGTGAGTTGATCGCGGCGTCCACATCCACCTAGTGTTGTTAAATCACATGCTACCACATTCATCAGGGCTGCAGCTAATGATTATCAAATTCAGTGAATATCTCCTTGCGGTCCACGAGCGGTGAAAAACAATCCGGTGTTTGTACTCAGCCCTGGCTCTGTGATAGTGAAATCACCAATGTGACAAACCCCGCTGCACAACGCTACGCCAGCAGGTCCAGTCATGATGTTTGTATCAGTAGTGATAAATGTCTTGCCCACGGACACTCAGTTTACTTTCTAGTTCACCAACACATGCTGTTGTTGCGATGTTAGCTATGGCAGCAGGAGAGCTGTGACGACTGTCTGGGACCGTCTCCTACCTTACACCGTAGCCTGACGTGTACCTCGCCCAAAATGGAAGTACACGCCACGGCGACAAAGATGTGTGATTGGTCCACTTAGTAGCATCGCGTTTCCTCCAAACCGCCAGAAAGTGCTCTGTGCTTTGAAGCCAGTTTTACTTTACTGGCCAAAGAGTGTCAAAATCCCCGCGACGTGAGTTGTTTCACTATCAAAATTTGATCCATTCGGTCCAATAATATTTGTAAAGTCTACAAGAGCCACACTTCACCATTTTACTCTCATTCAAGTTGGCTGAGGTGTAGCCAAGATACTTCACCAGTATTCCACTATCAGGCCCATCAATGACAAAAAACTTTGAGCTGGCGTTCTCACAGCAGCAGAGGATCGAGACAAGTTAAAGTCAGGCTTTATTTTTACTGTTCTTCGGATGAATCCTGGCTAGTAAGATAGTTTTTACCTCCAGTTTACAGGATTTTGTTTTGGAGTGTGTTTATGTAAAATGTAATATATTTAAGATATTGAGTCATAAATTCCAGAGTAGTTAACTGCTGTGCAGAGTGATTGTGATTTGTGAAATCTTCCTCCTTGTTTCTCCTCAGGGAGTTATTCTGGTCTACGACATCACCAACCGCTGGTCCTTCGATGGAATCGACAGGTGGATCAAAGAGATCGACGAGGTCAGTGATGAATCAGTCTCTTCCACAGACTTTGGACGGAGGCACCATAACGTCCCCCGTTGGTTTGAGGACTATTGTTTTGAAGCCTTGAGTTTCGCATTTTGTTTGTTTGGCCATCTTTTAAACCGGACATGGGAGGGTGGAGCTAGCTAGCTTAGTTAGCAAGGTGCATCTGTAATTCATGTTAAGACTTGAAACTAGCGACTGAGTCCATAAACTCATCAGGAAAGTGTTTACTTAGGGAATAAATCAGCTGAGAAGTAGAAACATTTTCTCATAGACTTCTATACAATCACACTTCTTTCTGCAGTGCTGGAGTCGCCCCCTGCTGGCCGCTGGAGGGACGCAGGTT